AAAAAGGAATAATTCGCAAAACTGCAATGGAAATGGCTTTTTCGCATTTACAGGTCACATGGCGTATGTAAAAAGTCATATGATCATTCTTCAATGTACTATAACCTCCAAGAAACACTTCTTACGTGGCCGCTCTCCAGTATAAGGGGCTTTCCCTACAATTAATGCTTAGACAATTTACACTGCACACGTCTGCGGTGCAGTGTGGCTCTGATACGGCCACTGAAGCTGATTGCGGCCACTCTAGTCAATGCTTGTGCTTATTCCAGTCGTGCCACGCACGTTTCTGAAGCGGCTCTCTATGCTGCTTCTGTAAAGATACACGCATACGCCTCCTTTGAATAAATATAGCCAAAATCCCACCAAAATCCACCAAAATCTATTGCCATGACTTATTGCGAGAGGCAAAAAATTACGTTTTAGTCGCATAACATCGGTTAATGGAAACGCCGTCATTTTGCAATACTTTTTTATCGACATTTATAAAATATCGCCAAAGTTTTGCGCAAATCTGTAATTTGCGAGAGGCAAAAGATTACGTTTTAGTCGCATAACATTGTTTAATGGAAACGCCGTCACTTCGCAATACTTTTTTATCGACATTTATAAAATATCGCCAAAGTTTTGCGCAAATCTGTAATGGAAACGCGCCTATTGCTCTAGATAAAATTTGTGGATCAAAATTGCTGATGACTCATTGATTTTGTTAGGTCATTAGCAATCTTAATTTACAAAACTGAGAGTGGAATTTATCAATGTATATGTCAATGTCAAGTTTATTTTTAGAGCACAGTCCACAAGTCATCAAATAAAGCTTGTGCATTCATAATAAAACGCGCCGCAGACGGCTCCGGGGGATGAATAAAGGCCCCCTGTAGCGAATCCATTAATTTTTGTAAGAAAAATATCCATATTTCAAACGTAATAAACACTTTTCTCTCACTTCCGCTGTCATTTAATTATTTATTTTTTCAGTAATTTATCAAAATATTTAAAAAGGTTTGCTGCATGGTTAAAATGCGCTATGCGTATAAAAAAAGCGTATGTCACATTTTATTATTTCATTCAGAAATAAGCCTAATGCCTACGCGAAATGTTTACAAACATTATAATAAACACTGTAAACATAGCTAGTAGGACTGGGCAAAAAAAAACATTTTTCAATTAATCATTTAAAATTTTTTAAATGACGTCGATTCCATATCGATTCTCAAAAGCCGCAAATCGATCTTTTCCGGTATTTATTTCAGCAAACATTTAAAACAAGATCTGATTAATGTGAATCTTATCATTAGTCTACTCCACTAGATGTCACCCTTACGCAATGTTACAATCACATACACAGCAGTTGCAAGTTCCTCACGGCAACCTGTCAAAATAAAAGTTTAGTTTAACGTGAAGAAACTGTATCAGAAATATTACTATTTAGCAGTCTTAATACTCGGTGTAACAACAATGCTACTACTACTAATAAATATTAATAAATCTTTATTTTTAAAGGAATAATCACATTTGTTTTCTTTTTAATTTTAACAGTAAACCTCTGTTGTGCAGCACTTTGTTTGGCAAAAAAAAGGGTTTAATTTTCATTTGATTAGGATAAATTAAATTAATGTTTTACGCCTTCATCTGATTACCAGAAAAATTAAGAAGAACGTTTTATTAGGCCCTATTATTGTTTAAAAAATGACCCTATACAAAAAATAATAGGTTTAAAATACAGGCCTGTGACTCTTAATTTCTTTTTATTAATTCACCATTTGTAAACTGATGTTTACTGTAAATTTTTTTAGAAATATCAATAGCATTTGTATTAAAACTATATTCACTGAATGTAATAAAAAAATCGAGAATCGAACCATGAATCGAATCGAGAGCTTGCGAATCGAAATTGAATTGAATCGGGACATCTGAATCGATACCCAGCCCTAATAGCTAGGCTATTTTAGTTCCTCTCACTCCACAACAAATACTTTCAATTAACAGTATTTAGAAAAGAACACGAATTAAAAATATAAGAAGCTATAGCAATATAAACGACAAGCCAAAACGAATTCATTTAGGCTAAAACAAAACTGAAACCAATGTTGGGTCTCTCATTCCACACAAAATCAAATGTTTCCGTATTCGCGATGTATTTGAATGGCAAGTTATTATGTACTTCACTCGCGTTCCAATATCCACGTAAAACAAAATGTTTTGCATAACATCACGGCGGTACTGTGATAACACTTAACGCCACAGATTTTACTACATAGTTTTTTTTCCATATGTTTGACTGACTGTATTATGATAATGAACAGGCTGCATTGTCAAGGTAGCAATGCTTAACTGTGTGCGTGCATCCGGCGCAATCACATGAATTTTTTCATTTTAACAGTGGAAGAAACTACTCCTTTTAGTCCTAAAAATAATCGGAATTGTAAAAGGTTTGCCTTTATTAGTGTACATTCACAATAAAAACATATCTTTGTGCTTTTGTAAAATAAGCCTAAAGAAAAATAGTATGCCGCTTTCTGCTGTCTGTTTCCTTTCACGCACCACAAAAATGAACCGAAACTCTGCATACTAGGCTACTTGTTTATCCTTTCTAATTTAATTAAATTCTAATTTTAAATAATCTTGTCGGTTAACGGTTAACAATTGGTTAGCAAGCGTCGGTTGTCTGTTAGGAAAAATAACCAAAATGAACATCCCTAGAAGGGGTATAAAATAGAATTGGGATTGGGCCTTAACCTCTTTTTCCACTGGCAAGTTTCTCACTCAACTGGAGTTTTGACTAGTGCAGTACTAAGAGATGAGCACGATGGAGCTCTCGGTTCAAAATTGTGCTGTTATTTTCATTGCTAAACAAAAAATTCACCTGCTGCAGAACAAGATTCTTGTGTTGGCTGTCAGCTGCATAGTTTGCTGACTTAATTGATGTAGTCTGTAATGTGAAAGTGAAAGAGATTGTGGGAAATGCCCACACAGAAGTTACACACAGAACTGATCTACTTGTGGAATTAGGAGTGGTCTGAGAGCACTGACTTTCTTTTTTGCATAGACGCATAGACAAATCCTTTTCTGTAATAATTTTGTTCTGTTCTTCCTTTTAGGAATGTATTTTCAGATCAGAGACTATGTATTTGGCTGTGAGGAATGTCAACGGAGTCAGTCTGAGAGATCAGTGGTAAGATTGGCTTCGCAAACGTATTAATCCACATCTCAGTCAGGATTGCTTGTTTGTTTTGAATTTATCTCTTACTTTCGCTTTGTCTCTGTCTCCAGTGTTCTGATGTCGGACTTATCTCCAGGATTGTGCAATCACATAGTCATCAAGTCTTAAGTAAGCTCAATAGCCAACGGGAAGCAGGGCTCTTCTGTGATATCACACTGAAAACTGGTGGTGGCCAGTCTTTCGTCGCCCACAAAGCAGTCCTTGCAGCGGTGAGCGAGTACTTCCAGGAGTTATTTATTGAAATGGACTCAGCCACTGATCCCCAGTCACATGTTGACCTCACAGGTATGGTGCATTATATATTCAAGATAAACCAGTTTCAAAATCAGTGTTTGTTCACACTTGTAAATTTCAAAAGGCCATTATTGAAATTGTTGAGCATATTTTATTCATTAAGGTAATCTTCTCTAATGACGCTTTTGTTTAACTTATTTTTTTTTAGTTTACTTGTTACAGGATTTCCACTGTCATGGGCAACCTAGAATATTAAGGAATATTAAAATTGATTTTAAAATTTTGATTTTTCAGGACTGGAGTCATAAAAAAGAATAAATTTTAAGACTGAACCTGCCACATTTTTGTTCCAGCAGATCCTCAACCTTTAGACAGTCATTATCCTATGACAGCACATTTATATCTCATATTTTATCCTTCAGGGCATTAATCAGTTATCATTTATGGTTTCTCACATAGGTTTCAGTGAGCAGAGCTTGCTTGCTTTACTAGAGTTCTCTTACACTTCTACCCTCAATCTGAATTTGGACATCTTGACAGAGGTTTGTGCCATGGCTCGCCATCTACGCATGTGGCCTGCCCTTGAGGCTTGCTCTGCTATCAAAAGGGAGCGAGAGACTTGTCAGTTACGTTCCAGAATGCACAGTTCTCTTGGAGAACCAAATAATTCAATGCCTGGACCTTTCAGGAAAGACCACTCCTCAACTTCAGGAGGGAAAGTGGGACTCAGGAGGAGGAGAGAGGATGAGGAAGGAGAAGGCTCTGGGTCTTCCTGGAACATTCAAGCACAGCACAGAGAGCACATTGTTGATAAAGTCACAGAGGAATCTGAAACAGAAACCTCAAATCCTCATTTGCAATGCCAAGTCCCGTCCAGTTATCAGGTGGAGGAAAATGGCTTTCCATGCAGCCCAAATCGCAGAATGAAGCTCATGGACTTCAAATCTCCATCCTGCAAGAAAAAATCATCCTCCTGCCCCACATCTTCAATCATCTCAACATCTCCTTGCACCTCTACTCGTTATTCCTCTCCATCACGCCGTTTGCTTCGTTCCTCACCTGGCGCTGCACTTGCTTTGCGCAGACTCCTGCCCAAAATCGACCTTTCTTCCAAGAGAAAGAGGAAGTCCTCTTCCTACCGGTCATACAAGCCCCAGTGTGAATTCTCAGTGACTCCGTCCCAATCTCAGGCAACTTCTTTGACCCATGGTACCTCAGTAAAGGTAAAGAAGGAGGATGTGGAGGAGGAGGTATGTAACACAGTCCCTCAGGATGAGGTGCACAGCCCTCGTGCTCAGGAGAAATACCGTCTTCTTAGCTTCCTTGGTTTGCAGAGGAAATCCCTTGTGCCCGGTCCAGAGGAACTGTCTGGCTGGGGGCAGAAAAAACGGCTTAGGAAGTTAAAAGTCAGCGATTATTCACTCACAGCACGACGTAAACCTCGTGCACAAGACGTCCCATTGAGATTCGGAACCAGTTTAGGAGTGCTTGCCGCCGTTAATCCTACTCTATCCCTCTGTGACATGAGCAGAATGGACTTGCTGAACAGACCAGTGAAAGTAGAACCTTGGAACCAAGAAAGGTCCAAAAGGAAAAGACATGATCCTGCAGGGCAAACTGTGCAGCCAATTGCAAGAGCTACACGTAGCAGGTCATTGCTGCAGACAGACTCCAGTGCAAACGATCGACCTCTCAGACGCCACCACAGAAATCAAGATAAAGCACCTTCCCAACCTGCACGAAGAGGTAGAGTACCAGCACACAATGCCTCTTCCCCTTCAAAAAGCACTATGCTCAGGATAAAGCATGAATCTTCGGACAGTGCCATCCTGCAACCTATTCACCGTCGCAATACTGCCTACAACCCCCAGGGAACTTCTCCTAAAGCACCAAGACGTAGGGGTCGCCCACCAGCAGATCGCACAGTTAGGGTAGCCACAACAAAGCTGCAGCACACAAAGCGGCACAAACCTGGGCGCCCCCCATTAGACAAACGTAAGAGCTCAAAACAAATAGAAAGCAAAACAAAATGCAACCATGCTACAGGAATGCCACTGGCAAATCACAGCAGAACTGAAAGAGGAACACAGGTGAAGGAGAACAGAAAGATTAAGGAACGCGGGAACAGAAAAGACAGTCCTGAAGTTCAGTATGCCATCGTGAACTGGGATACTTCCAACCATCAGCAGCTTCACAGCCATCCCCTTTACAAAACGATAAAGGAAGAACCAGCTGAGCCCTTGCCCCTAACCCAGCCATTCCCACCCAGTGACTCCTTGGATCTGGGCAAGCGTCAGAGCAAACCACCCGTCAAACTGTTGGATCAAGGCTTCCTTTTCGGCTTCTGTCGACCACCAAGTGGCATTAAACGGGAGGAGGAGAGTGTGGACATCTACCTGACTCGGTCGGTCTCTCATGGAAGTAGTTCCAATTGCGATTCATCACCTGGCATGATGAGAAGAGATCGGGTTAGGGCCAGGATTCTGCCAGACCGAACCGGTCTAAATGGGCCTCACTGGGCTGGACTTGGCAACAGGCACTCACCCTTTTCCCAAAGGACTGCTATTCGAGTAAAGACTGAGAGGGATGAAACGGGAGTGTCCCAAGTGTCAAAGGTTAGCAGAGTCTCTAGACACCCCCAGGTCAGCAAGAGGAGCTGTAAAATCAAGAAGGAACCTACAAAGACAACGGTACGTTTTTTTTTCTCATGCTAGTAATTGATGTTTATTCTTATGACAAAAGCATGTTACGTAACTGTTTTGTAAATTATAATGCAGTCTGGTTTAGGGAAGTAGTACTTGAATGTCAGTCGTTGAAAAGAATGATTTTAAATTTAAACTAGTAATAAACACAAAATGTCTTTTATAAAAGGATAAAAAGGATTTAAAAAAATATATATTTTTTTGTCTTTGTAGAATGTAAATAAACTGCTTCCTCTGAGCAGTCGCCATTCCATCCTACTGGAAACCATCCGACGGACACGTCTGAAACAGCAGAAGGGTCCTCGCGGTCAGGCCTCCAGTGGAGCACATGCTTGCCTGCAGTGCAGAGGCTCCTACAGGGACTGTGATGCCCTTATTATGCACCGGATCAGGCACATTGAAGGCAAACACTGGCCCTGCCCGGTATGCATCATGTTTCCTGAGGTCCTGGAGGTGCTCCCTTCCCAACAATGTGCCTGTCTGCTGAACAAAGCTTATTGTCAGGGGTGCACATAAGTGGTACGCAGGTGCGCATGAACGACTAAAATAAAAAATGCGATGTGTAAATATGTTCAGACCACTCATTTGCGTACTGACATTGTTGACAGTAGGGCTGTCAAAAATGGCTGAAAAACTAAATTCGAATTTTGTACTTATATATTGTCCAAATTCGAATTATATTCGAATTAAAATGCATAATTTCAGTTAGGTTGAAGAAAAGCTTTTGGCTTCTCTTCTGAGGCCACAAGAGGGCACATCGAGCAAAATATTACTAATGCACGTTTATTCAAAGCCTAAGATAACATGACTATCTGTGGAAAAAAAGTGCATAATGTTTAAAATAATGTTTATAAACCAATTATAATTAATTAAGTTGCTTAAACAACTATAAACAAAACAGCATCATGTTTGTATGCATAGTTTAACACAAAGGGCAGAAAGCCAATCACACAAAGTACATTTTTCATTTAAAAACATGAGATGCAGTGGGATGGGGAAAAAACCCCACCATAAAGTCTCGATATATGTTTTTTTCAAAGTTAAACTTGCATTAATTTTACATGGCTTTCTAAACATGCGGCTCCTTTGTGCAACATGCGAGTGCAACATTGATAGATGTCCCTCTAGAAAATGCGCGAAATATGTTCTGTGTGAACGGCTTGGTTTTGATGTAAACAAGATTTTCTCCGCATTGATGTTCTCTTTTTCCGCAATATTTTTAATGAACAACGCAGCAGCGCCGCATCTAGTGGCTTCAACTGGATAGGCTAACAAAAACATTATAATGCAACGACACATACATCGTCATCGCATCTCGTGCGCCACTGATAAGGCTGCCTCCTTAACGCACAATTAAAATTCGAATGCGGATTTTTATTTTAAATTTGACGAATATTCGAAATTCGAATTTTTTTAATTTTTGACAGCCCTAGTTGACAGCTGTTAATGCACAATCACTGTTTTAGATCGACTAACTGTAATACTGTATAAGATTTCCACTCAAACCGAAAGCATAAATCTAGGCTATGCGCTGTGTTAATATTAGCATTGTATTTTTAAGTGTACTATAAATGGGTGCACATAAGTGGTCCGCATGCGCGACCAAAATAATAAATGCGCTGTGTAAATTAGTTCAGAGCGCGCATTTGCGTACCGACATGGTTGACAGCTGTTAATGCACAATTAACATTTTAGATCGACAAACTGTACTGTATAAGATTTCTATCCAAACTGAAGGAGAGTGTGGCATAGCATAAATATAGGCTACCTGCTAACGTTTTTAAAGCACAATGCAAAACTGACATTTCATTCACTGACGCTCTACAATCGGCAGCGCTAAACCCGGAAGCGCATATACTTACTTGCCGGCAAC